GCATGAATTATTATCCAAATACTTACTAATGTCTTCTATATAAGTCATACTATATAGAACTAATATGGGAGTTCTGGTAGCATAGTGGCTAAGGCACTTGACTGCTAACCAGAAGGCTGGCGGTTCAAACCCACCAGCCACTCCTCGGAAGGAAGATGGGGCAATCTACTTCCACAGTGATACTGCCTCGGAAACCCAAGGAGGGGTCGCTATGAGTCAGGTCTGACTCGAAGGCACATAACAACAACAACAACAACATATAGAACTAAAGGAATCGCAACTCTGAGATCTTATACTTAAGTGTCAGAAATTAATCTTATTTACGTAATTTTTTCCCAACTGTGTTCTCGTGACTTCTAAGAGCATCTGAAAGCAAGAGGAGCATGCTACACATCTATCGTGGCCACCGGAGCCACAGTGAGTTTGGAAAGAGGAGCAGAAGTTGATTAGGGTCCTTCTCATCTTACAATTAGGTAACAGCAGGAAAATCTGATTACTCTAAATGGCAATGACTTGTCATTTCCACCACAGGATATGAAGTGCCTTTGATCAGCACCTGCAGGTCTGGAGGTTGCTAAGAATGAATTCACCAGGTCTTTCAATGATGCACTTCTAATTTTTGACAGAAAAAAGTTATGAGTACAGTCATGACTCTTTTACACGACCCTATGTAGTACCAGTGAGTAGCCAGTGGAATAAGCCATTACTTTGTTGATGCTTGGAGTCCCTGGGTGGTAAAAGTGTACTTGGCTGCTAACTGAAAGTTTGCAAGTTTGAGTCCACCCAGAAGCACCTGAGAAGAAAGGCCTGGTGACCTGCTTCAGAAAACTCAGCCACCGGCAACCCTGTGGAGCACAGTTCTACTTGGACACACACAGGGGCGCAGAGTCCACTCTGACTCTTGGCAACTGGGGTTTTTGAGTTTTGTTGATTCCCATTAAGTAGCCTTCAGAGTTGGAGAGGCAATGTTTTTGTTATCAAAAAAGTAACTTTTTAAACATGTTTGTAGACGCTACCCAATCACAAAGCCAGAAGTAAATAAGAAAAATGCACTTGTTGGGGATTTGCACTTAGACCTCAAGTCTGTTGACTGCAAGTTATGTGTAACATAACGTTGACCTAACAATCTTGATTATCTAGTTTCCTTTCTGGTCTTCTTAGATTACCATGTTTGTTTTTAGTTAAAGGAGCTCTGGTGGTGTAGTGGGTAAGGCATCTGGCTGCTAACCAGGTCTGCGGTTCAAACCCACCAGCTGCTCCACAGAAGGAAGGTGGGGCAATCTACTTTCATAAAGATTTACAGCCTTGGAAACCCACGGGGGGTCGCTATGAATCAGAATTGACTCATGGGCAGTGGGTTTGGTGCTTTTTGGTTATTTGTTGTTGTTAAGTGCCGTCGAGTCGTTTCCGACTCATAGCGACCCCATGCACAGCAGAACGAAACACTGCCTG